CGTGTTCTAAGTGTTGAATACAGTTTTTATTTATACTTCGCTAGAATCTATGGGGCGTAGTACGCATCGTATAGAAAATATCCTTTCCATTTGGGACTGCTTTTTTAAGCAATAACTTTGTGCAAAAACATCCATTTAAAAGACTACGAAGACCACGTTCCATTTCGTTTTAACGTCGCGTTCTTGTCGCGCAGACCACGTAGAAATTACGTTACGTGACAAAGCTTCGTCCTAAGCAAATAATCGGTATGCTATAAACCTTTTCTTACGTGAGTACCTCGGAAATAAGTTTTACATTTGTCGGACGTGTACCTGTTGCCTTTGAATACGTTACTGAATTCCATAGACAACATCAATGTATATGCCACCACCCAGCTTGAGACATGAGTTTTAAGTCTCGATTTTACAGTACAACGGCTGTCCCGCTCTTTAAGCTAAAACGCATTACTGTTTCGAGGCAGAAATAGGCGGGGTTTTGGTACCGACCCGTGCGGGCTCACAATACGCTCTACGGCCGCCCCATGGTATGAATTGAGCATAACTGCTATCGGAACCTTCAAGTCAGACGAGTGAGCAGCCCGAATTGACAGGTTAATCATATCAAACCCGGAACAAAATCAAATCCGCAAAATTATAATTTGCGTAATTACTGGCGGTAGGACCTCTTGTGAGTCAGCGCGGGTGGGGTACCACCACTACTCTGCCTATTTCTGCCGTGAACTAGTAATGCGTTTCGGTTTGAAGGGTGGGGCAGCCGTTGTAACTATACTGAGACCTTAGAACTTATATCTCAAGTTGGGTGGCGGCATTTACGTTGTAGATGTCTATGGGCTCCAGTAACTACTTAAAACCAGGTGGGCTGTGAGCTCGTCCACCCATATAAGCAATAAAAAAACCTTTTTCTTTCCTACCTATGCTGATAGCCTTGAGAGGCTATTTCAGCTTCGCCCTAACAAGTAGGTGAGTTCACGGGGCTCAAGCCGTAAGTGTTGCTAACACTGGCCCTAGCAAGAGCAGTGCTTCGCAGAGTCTACCACCCGATCGGAAACGCGACCCACTGAGAAGATCCGGCGAGAAACTCAGTGGGCTGTGTCTATGGGCTAATTCGCCTCGCAAGCGACAGGTTCCACGAGGAGGGTGACCGGTATCTTCCCATGCAAGCTCATAGACAGAGCAGTTTTACAATTACTTTGTCTTATCTGTATATGTATAGCCAATAGTAACCATTCCCGATCCTGCGGACAGAATATACGGTGCTTTTAGGCACTTCAAGCACCGGTCACCGTTCTCGTCGAACCCGTCGCTTGCGACGAAGGGCTCGACGAGTAAATTAACTCTCAGACACAGCCCACTGAGTTTCTCGCCGGATCTTCTCAGTGGGTCGCGTTTCCGATCCGGTGGTAGATTCTGCGAAGCACGGCTCTTGCTAGAGTTCGTGTTAGCAACGTCATCAGGTTTGAGCCCCGTGAGCTCACCTACTAGTTAAGGTTACGCTGATATAGCCTCTCAAGGCTATCAGCTTAGGTAGGAAAAAAATAATAGCCAAAAGCTACTAAAATCACACACCAGTCATCCATAGCCACGAAAACTGTAAATTATTCGAAGTTTCAGTTATCTATAGACGTAGTGAGGAATTATTTTCCTTCGGGAAAACTCGGATCTTTACTGGAATAAGATGACATTCGAACTGTCAATGAATGATCGTATTAAATGAGTGACATTTTCCATAGAACTTCAGTGACATTTTCATAGATAGGTTTCATACTTCAGTGACATTTTCACATCCATTAATATCATAGACCTATATAGTATACTTCAGTGATTAATATGGAAATTTATTGTTTAGTATCAAATTTCAAAATGAATAATGTCATTGTATAATATAGAAATGTTACAACCATAACAATTATGAAATTAGCACGATAAATACGAACTATTCCGAAAAAATACGAAGGTAAATCTTTTCTCACTATACCTCTAATGACAAGTAGAAATGCAAGATTTATTAGTTGTATTAATTATGTTTTTTTTTTTTTTTTTTTTTTTTTTNGTGAAGTTGCGTGCCGTAGGACCAGGAAGCGCGGTGAGTCGGCTGCGATGGTCCTGTTGAGGCTGCGATGCTGGCTTGCTGTGGGACGACTGTCAATGACGTGCTTTTATCTGCGAGAATGCGGGGATTGTGGTAGCCGGAGTTCTTGATGCGCTGAAGATGAATCAGAAGGTTGCGTGTTCACATCACGTCGGGGTCACCAGTTTGGGGATGATTAACGACAAAGGGAAGATCTTCCACCGAGCGGGTGATATTTGCTCGGTAGACCGACGGTCCGAATGTTGTTGTTCGGAACTTGTATATATGCGCTTTATCTTGAAAATGTCGTAAGCGAGATTCAGGCATCTGTCAATTATCTTGCGTCGTATGATGGCTACCCGCCACATGTTCAAATAGTCGCCGATCTGAACCGAATCGGCTGGTGGTTAATGCTAAATCGGCACTTACTTACTGGTGGTAGGACCTCTTGTGAGTCCGCACGGGTAGGTACCACCTATTTCAGCCGTGAAGCAGTAATGCGTTTCGGTTTGAAGGGTGGGGCAGCCGTTATAACTACACTGAGACCTTAGAACTTGTATCTCAAGGTGGGTGGCGCGTCTAGGTTGTAGATGTCTATGGGCTCCAGTAACTACTTAAAACCAGGTGGGCTGTGAGCTCGTCCACCCATATAAGCAATAAAAAAAAACCTTTTTTTTTCCTACCTATGCTGATAGCCTTGAGAGGCTATTTCAGCTTCGCCCTAACAAGTAGGTGAGTTCACGGGGCTCAAGCCGTAAGTGTTGCTAGCACTGGCCCTAGCAAGAGCAGTGCTTCGCAGAGTCTACCACCCGATTGGAAACGCGACCCACTGAGAAGATCCGGCGAGAAACTCAGTGGGCTGTGTTATGGGTTAATTCGCCTCGCAAGCGACAGGTTCCACGAGGACGGTGACCGGTATCTTCCCATGCAAGCTCATAGACAGAGCAGTTTTACTATTACTTTGTCTTATCTGTATCTCTATAGGCAAAAGCTACCAAAATCACACATCCACGAAAACTGTAAATTATTTTAAGCCGTAGCTATAGACGTAGTGAGAAATTATTTTCCTTCGGGAAAACTCGGATCTTTATCGGAATACGATGACACCCGAACTGTCAATGAATGATCGTATTAAATAAGTGACATTTTCCATAGACCTTATACTTCAGTGACATTTTCGCATCCATTAATATCATAGACTTATATAGTATACTTCAGTGATTAATATGGAACTTTATTGTTTAGTGTCAAATTTCAAAATAAATAATGTCATTGTATCTATATATTAATACGTGAAGCATAAACTTTGTATCCCTTTTTACGAAAATCGCGCGGACGGAAGAGTATGAAATTTTCCACACTTATAGAGAATATAGAGAAGAAGTGCACAATGCTAATATTTTTTTTAAATAATCCATAAAAGATACATTAAATCAATAAAGAAAACATTACACACACTACATACCATGTATTTGACGCACACACGCATGCATACTATTTATTATCAAGCTTTTGTTCTTGATGTCTGTTGTCAAATTGAGAATAGATTAAATATTGTTTGTCTTTGTTAATATTTTTATAGTGTAGTGTAGTCTTGGCGAAATTTGTGATTACAGGAGTATAAAATACAATCATAATAGTGTACAAACTTATAATTCCAATTAATTATAGTCGAATTTCGACTACAGCAGGGCCACTAGTAATATAGAAATGTTACAACCATAATAATTATAAAATTAGCACGATAAATACGAACTTTTCCGAAAAAATACGAAGGTAAATCTTTTCTCACTATATCTCTAATGACAACTAGAAATGCAAGATTTATTAGTTGTATTAATTATGTTTAAGGCTATCTAAAACCGAAGATAATGCTGTATCTTTAAGAATTACATTTTGACCTTGGCTTTGACCTGACGTCAAATGATGGCACAGATAACTTGAAGTGTATCGTTATCTTCGTATTTCCATCAACAGTCATGAAAATGCTTTCCATAAATATTGTACGAAGGCATTTTCATGGGCTTTTGACTCTTCGAAGAATCTGAATTGTTGGTTTGTAAGAACTTAAGCGTTTTCGTCTCGGGGTTTTTTATTTGTATTATAAATAAACAAAATTGAGAATGACTCGTATTAGTGTATCCAAAAATTTCTATGAAACTAATTTTATGTCGTTAAATTAAAATAAGACTTGACCTAAAGGTCTTAGTTACCAGGTCATAAAATCCTTAAAAAAATTTTTGGTAAAAAATGGCGGAATTTTTTCCCTCCATATCGATTCTTACTTTAAAGAAGACATTGCATGTGCATTTGACTGATAACTTTGATTTATTCTTTTAAGTACATAAGTACCTACATTATTATAGTAAGGAATCCACGAACAGAAAATGATAAAGCCTATTTAAAATTAGAATGTTAATAATTAAACCTATTGCCAAATTTGACAGATAATAAGTAATTGACATTTGCATATTGATATCGAATTTCAACGGAAGGCGAAAGGTTCGATATCGAAAATTCAATTTGTAAACGTATTAGAATTTTTTATAACATAACATATTTTATTAGTTTAGTTTGTTTGTATGTAATGGAATATTTTAATGTCATTTTCACATAATTCAAGAGGTCCGATTGATTTGAATATTTTCACACGCGTCAAGGACCGACGACCATGCAATACTCTTTATGCTCTGATATCCTGACCAGTATCAACAGGATACAAAAAAAAAATGAAATTAGTTCGGTTTGCTATTTCAGCCTTATTTTTAATTTTACTGTTAACAAGATTAGATTGATAAACATGTACATATTAAAATTGGAATCCCCAAGTCGATTCCTTCGCCTCTAGCGTTAAGAGACATTCTCAATGTTTAATAATTACCTACAAAAATTAGTAACACGAACGATATTATTTAAACTATTAACACATTACCTTTTATCTCGTGAAATCCCTATACAAAATCCAATTAATCACAGCAAACTATGTTGAAGTCGGCTAGCGGCATACTTTAGTGTCCGCTACGAAAATATTCAAACGTTTATTTTAATCTTAATAATTTGGCAAACGACCAGTTCAACTGGGAACCACAGTAACAAAACTAAGCCGTTCAAAATCGAACCCTTTGCACTAAACTTGACGAAAAAAAAACTTGATACGTCACTTTCGTTTGTCGAACGCGCGCTTTGTATAAATTTTCGTGAGCCACCGCGATACGTGCTCTCTCTTTCGATTCTGAAGCCGGACTGAATTTCTGAAGCGGGTCCGGTGAAACGGTAATCTCAGTGCAGAACGAGAGGCATCGGACGTCTCTTTCTGGCGGCTTCAGGAAATTGCTGAAAGCGCCGTCTGCATAGACGTGTAGGCGACTCGGATACATTCAGTGTTTTTTTTTTGTAATTTTTATTTTCAAGCAATGACGTCAGAACGCCATCATTAAACTCGTAATAGTTCACAAAATTAAATGAGATACACTCTACATTCCCATACAATAGAAGACATTGCATGTTCGATATTTACCACTGAGAAATTAAATGCGTTTATTTTAAGGAAACTTAAGCCCATAAAATTTCACATACAATCACATATATACATATATGTAACTATACTTGAGACCTTAGAACTTGTATCTCAAGGTGGGTGGCGCATTTACGTTGTGGATGTCTATGGGCTCCAGTAACCAGAATGATTAAAAATAAAAATAAACAAAAATGATTGATGATGAAAATTATTACTGTTGCCAATTGTCGGTACTATTTGATATTTATATACGTAATAAAAATACGTCCCGGGCGCCATTAAGCAGGCCGAATGCAGGCAGCATTGGAGGAAGCTGGTGCAAAAACTGGACCAAGGTGGTCACGACCCTCAGTAATGAGGAAACGACAGAGAAGAAGAAAAAGAATAAAAATATTTCTTATTTTACCAAATAATCATACACATCATAATTTGTTGTATAACATAAGCTCTGTTTTTACTCTCATGAAAACGATTGATACATCTATCTATCTATCTTTGCCGTTCGTTAGTCTCGCTAAAACTCGAGAACGGCTGGACCGATTTGGCTAATTTCGGTCTTGAATTATTCGTGGAAGTCCAGAGAGGGTTTCAAAGATGACAAAAAATATGAAAATAGTCGGAATTATATAAAAAACAAACAATTTTGTTTTTCCTTTGATGTGTCCCCCGTTGGACGCATTCCTTTTATTTTTTTTACGTTTATTTTAGACAAAAGCTTAGGTCTTTTATTTATCGATTGAGGCACTACGAAGTGTGCCGGGTCAAATAGTTTTTTTTTTATAAAAACTAATTCAAAAATATCGGCTGATCCAAAATGAGAGTCAGTGTCGAGCCTTATCCGCACAGAAATTACAATCTTGATTGGATATTAAGCTATAAGCCTCGAATGATATAAAGAACGTGCCGAGGAGTTATTAGCGGGCCTACAGCGTGGGGAATCTTTATATTACAGACTCGCATTGGGACCAATTTTGTAAATTTTGAGACGTACTACAACGTAATGACGTAACTATACTTGAGACCTTATCACTTATCTCAAGGTGGTTGGCGCATTGACCTTGTAGATGTCTATGGGGTCCAGTAACCACTTAACACCGGGTGGGCTGTGAGCTCGTCCACCTATCTAAGCAATAAATTTAAAAAAACGTACTTCTCGAAAAGGTTTGAAGTCGTCGTGGCCTAACGGATAAGACGTCCGGTACATTCGTGTTTAGCGATGCACCGGTGTTCGAATCCCGCAGGCGGGTGCCAATTTTTGTAATGAAATACGTACTCAACAAATGTTCACGATTGATTTCCACGGTGAAGGAATAACATCGTGTAATAAAAATTAAACCCGCAAAATTATAATTTGCGTAACTACTGGTGGTAGGACCTCTTGTGAGTCCGCACGGGTAGGTACCACCACCCTGCCTATTTCTGCCGTGAAGCAGTAATGCGTTTCGGTTTGAAGGGTGGGGCAACCGTTGTAACTATAATTGAGACCTTAGAACTTATATCTCAAGGTGGGTGGCGCATTGACCTTGTAGATGTCTATGGGGTCCAGTAACCACTTAACACCAGGTGGGCTGTGAGCTCGTCCACCTATCTAAGCAATAAAAAAAAACGTACTTCTCGAAAAGGTACTCGCTTTTGAGGCAATCCAAGGCTGCACATTCAGGACGTCTGCCGTATGATTTTGAAGTGAATTATCTTTCTTTCACTCTGTAAATAGTTACACGAAATCGGCATGAAGTTCATAAATAAGGTATCATTAATAGTATTGATAATTTTTATTATTATTAATACGCTTTTATTAGCTTCAGACGTATGTATGTTAGTAGGTAACGGAATCTTTGAACATGGTTTTGACCTCCTTCAAAACGTCGGATTAACTCGAAATTAATTAATTTGTGAAATCGTCGTGGCCTATGGGATAAGACGTCCGATGCATTCGTGTTGAGCGATGCACCGGTGTTCGAATCTCAGGCGGGTACCAATTTTTCTATTGAAATACGTACTCACCACATGTTCACGATTGACTTACACGGAGAAGGAAGAACATCGTGTAATAAAAATCAAACCCGCAAAATTATAATTTGCGTAATTACTGGTGGTAGGACCTCTAGTGAGTCCGCGCGGGTAGGTACCACCACTCCGTCTATTTCTGCCTTGAAGCAGTAATGCGTTTCGGCTGAAAAGTGGGACAGCCGTTGTAACGATACTTGAGACCTTAGAACTTATATCTCAAGATGGGTGGCGCATTTACGTTGTAGGTGTCTATTGGCTCCAGTAACCACTTAACACCAGGTAGGCTGTGAGCTCGTCCACTCATCTAAGCAATAAAAATAAAAAAACAAACATGTATGAAATAGCTCACAAATAAATTAAAAGATACAAAAGTCACGAATATATAAATAGAACGGAATGCCCTCAGCATTTAATAACACAAAAATCAATAATAAACACAAACATATAAACATTATTGTTCATACTGTTTGTAAGCAATCAGAAAAGTCTTTGGGATATAGCGGAAGTGAATTGGGTAGGGTGGCAGTGTGAGCGGGTATGTAACGTTAATTCAAATATCCTTACTGCTATAATATAAAATTAATGTTGTAGTTTTTTGTGTAATTCACAAATTATTACTTACTAGCGACCCGCCCTCGCTTCGCTTCGGAAACTGTAATTTATTATTGATTTCTCCACTATTTAATGGATGTTATTATACATATAAACCTTCCTCTTCAATCACTCTATCTATTAAAAAAAACGCATCAAAATCCGTTGCGTAGTTTTAAAGATTTAAGCATACATAGGGATAGATATAGGGACAGAGAAAGCGACTTTGTTTTATACTATGTAGTGATTAACTTTAAAAATAAAATAACTTTAAAATTATTACTTAATAAACATAGATATCCTTGCATAAGGATAAGTATAAGACCATACGCAGCATTTTATTAAGAAAACGTTTTTTATTAATTGAACTTTTTATTTTTTATTGCTTAGATGGATGGACGAGCTCACAGCCCACCTGATGTTAAGTGGTTACTGGAGCCCATAGACATCTACAACGTAAATGCGCCGCCCACCTTGAGATATAAGTTCTAAAGGCTCAGTATAGTTACAGCGACTACAACGGCCCCACCTTTCAAACCGAAACGCATTGCTGCTTCACTGCGGTAATAGGCAGGGCGGTGGTACCTATGGATGCTGACTCAGATGAGGTCCTACCACCAGTAAAAAACTAAATAATGATTTCAGTTGGCTCTGGTATCAGATCTATAGTTCTTATCGCTAATTGTTCAACAAATTCTTTGAGAATAAAATTCGTGAAAATTAAACAAACGTGTCTAGGGCATCGACGGTGACTGGCTCCTGCGTGATCAGGATTAAGGGATCAGAATGATATTGTATGGAGCTTGTATATATGCAAGCTTATCTTGAAAATGTTTTAAGCGACATTCAGGCATCTGTCAAAAACCTTGTGTTCTATGATGGCTGGCCTTCACAATATTATGAATAAATCTTTGTTAGGCTTCGTCTTTTTTATATTTAATACATTCACACATCTGTAGAAAATGCACACACATTAATATTCAACATGAGTATTAAAAACGTGTACACCTTCTGGGTGTGAAAAGAACTTACACACGGTCGTTTGTATTCAAATAAAAAAAACAATTGGTACTGCATAAATAGGTCAATGAACTCTCGGTACATCAAATTCAGTGATTATAAAAGCCCATAAACATCAAAAACCTCGCTAACTTGATTTAAGATCGATATTTTTATTTAGTTAATCGATTCAAGGAGCTCGGTATTGCCATAAGGTCCGCTCTTTGCTTCCAACGTATTCTCTCATACTTCGGTCACCTCGCTCATAGAGGCCCCGATAACTTAGAGATGCTAATGGTAGTTGGTCAGGTTGACAGAAGAAGATCACGCAGACGCTCACGTACCCGCTGGTCTGATCTAGTAAAGACGCTCACCGGCCTGCCAATACCAGAGGCTTTAAAGACCGCCGAGGACAGAAAGACGTGGGGAAGCATTGTGCATCGAATGGTCAACACTTCAAGCTAGACACGACCTTCAGCAACAAAGAGACCGACTCAGAAGAAGAAGAATCGGTTCAAATCTCCTTATAACGTAAATAGTTATATATGCCAGTACGTACAGACATACACGTTCACCCAATGCTGTTATACCTTCGATCTGCTACACCTCTTGTTTGCACACAGAAAAGCCTATCCAGACCCGGGGACTGAAAGTCTCCACCTTATTGATAGGTATTAGTTAGACCTTTCTCACCGACCTCAGTAGTCAGTTCGAAACTTCTAACTAGTTGGCTTGTGAATCCGCACGGGTAGGTACCACCACCCCACCTATTTCTGCCGTGAAGCAGTAATGCGTTTCGATTTGAAGTTTGGGGCAGCCGATGTACTATTAAAACTCGGTGGATCTTCTCAGTGGCTCGCGATTCTGATCCGGTGGTGCATTCGCGAAGAAGCGGCCCTTAAGCTGGCCTTCTGGAGGAGAACGGGCGCTTATAGCAAACTGGCCCTCCTAGCTGAGCTCTTAAGGACATCCACATAAGCCAGAAAGTTATTCGAACATCTGGGTCTGTGCCTTTCATCACAAAAACCACAACCTCCTTCATCACAAAAACCACAACCTCCTCCTTGTTTTTTTTTTATTACCAATAAATTCTTGCACTCCTACTA